ATGAACCACTCACAACCACTTTGACTTTCTCAGCACCAGCGTTGCTAATATCGCATCTTTGGAAAAGGAATACATTCCTCAAGCTTCGTATTTTTATGAAGTCTATAGATTATAATAATTCTCATCAATTTTAAGGTATACATGACAAATTATTTCCTGTCATAGAAAACTGGATTAAGTTCACAAACTAAGGTGGCTCTGAGCTCCTTTCACTGTTAAAATAAAGCAGTTCTGAAAAAGATAAATAGAATAAAATTATTTCTATCAGAAAAATAGAAAACTTTCAGAAAAAATCTGTTTCTAGCTCGTCAGTATGGAATTTGTCACTAATCATTTTAAACTATGCCCTTTTATGCTTCTTCTGTCTCTTTTAGCTTTCGGAGTAGTTCTTTGATGTAACAAAGACAGTTTCAGACAAGATTTCAGTTCATCTGGAAAAAAAAGGTTTAAGTCTGGAGGCAAAATGCAGTGTATTTAAAATTTATATACTCCATAATGCCTTTGTTCTGCACTTGAAGATCCTGCAAAACTTCTAAGCTCCTTTGCCTTCCTCCTCTAAGCTCATTTGTTCTTCCTTTGCTTATTATCATGCAGGGTGGCTTTAACTGGTGGTTCCATGGTTTAACTACATGCAGAGTCATGGCTGACCCTTTCTGATCAATTGCCAATCCATACAGGTTTGACTGATAAAAGAGACAATTAGATTTAAGCAAATTAAGGGACATCACCAATGTCAACCACTTATTAAACTGAATGCTGAGTTCTGTGCATACAAAACACTAATGCACTGAGCCCCATTAAGAGTTGAAATCCTAACCCCATTAGTAACTCCAGACCTTGAAGGGGTAAAGGTCATAAGAAAGTTTCATATTTATGGATTAACATTTGGATTCCATTTTTATTTTTTTAATTCTTTTCCTAGAACTCTTGAACTTGCACTCTAATGTTATTCAATAGCTCAGATTAAAAATATTCTTCATTTCTAAGAGTATCTTAGTGGTAAATATGAGCATTATGTTTTTACAAACAACGTAAAAATGTAGTAATTACAGTGATACAAAAGCCTGAGTACCCACAAGTGGGCAAGAATATGCTTCATAATTGAACGGAAAAAACAAAACAAAACAAAACACCAGACTCCGCCAGTTGACTAAATAATATTTCAAATGAATTTTTAAATTTAAAAATGTGTGCTAGTTGGGATTTGCCACTGTCCACCCACTTGTGGAGCTGTTGGTCTCATGATCTCATTTATCTTAATTTCTCTTCAAAATTTATCTTCATTTATCCTCAAAATAACTTGTATTTATCAGATTGTTTAATCATATTTTTCTTTTACTTTCTTTGGTCAAAGTTAAGAGTTTTATTTTATTTTATTTTGTGGGGAAGTAATTTGGTTTTTAAAATTTATTTATCTTTAATGGAGATACTGGGGATTGAAACCAGGACCTTGTGCATGCTAGGTATGCACTCTGCCACTGAGCTATAGTCTCCCCACTATAAGAGTTTTATTTTTTAAATAAGATTAAATTTATTAAACAAGAACTTCAATGAAATAAGGAGGATCTGAATGCGCAAACAAGGGTTTGAAATTAGATATTGTTGGACTTTTGTTTCCCAGCTTTATTGAGGTGTAATTGGCATGCACAAAACTGCACATCAATCATAATTTTTCTCATCAGAAAAATAGAGAAAGCTAGTATCAAATAAGGCATTTCATAACCATTCACTAAGAGATAAGGTACCAGGGTAAATTCTTTGTGCTAAGTCCCCTTACCTGTCCCTTCCAAATTCCTATGTAAACCACTTCTGTTTTCCTATGTTTACCTAAGTAAAGTAACTACAATAGCGAAGGAAGGAAGCAGAGATGCATTAGTGCAATGTGGGTATAATTCTTACTTCCAATATTCCTGCCCTCCTTACAGTCTGGGCTCCCGACTACATCTGCATGGCCACAACGTTTCTGCGCCGGACAAGTGTACAGAGGCGGCCACAGTTCCCACAGCTGGCTGCCGTACGAGGTTGCTCAAGTAGAAGACGAGGCCTGAGTCAGGCCCAAGCAATGATAAGCTTACAATTTAAAGCCGGTAACTAGCTATCCTGACTGATTCATTTATTTACTCACTCACCAAGTATTCATTGTGCACCTACCATGTGTTAGGTTTGGTCCAGGCACTGAAGATAAAAATGTGAACAAGAAACAGTCCCTGCTGCATAGGATCTTATAGCCAGTGATGGGGACAGTCAATATAACGTGACTGTACTTGGGGATACAGAAGGGCCCTATCTCAGCCTCAGTTGGTAAAAGATGACGTTCCGATGGATCGACTTTCAAAATGAAACCTAAAAATTGAATAGGATTTGGCTAGATCAATGGGTAGAGGAGGTTTTCCAGGGCACATTTGATAGCAAACATGATACAGGAAAAAAAATAAGCATTTCTGTTTTGCCCAAATTTTCTATCTTACGTTTTTAAACTACACTGAAAAGAAAACACAGTTAAAGGTGTTATCATTACAAATCTTGTGTAATTCCGCATCGAAAGATACTAGAAATTCGACATCACCATGAAAGAGATCTAATATTGAAATCAAGGAAATAGCAATCACGATAACAACCCAAATATAATGGAAAAGTAAATAGCATATAGAATCTTCTCTGCTCATAAGTCGGTTCGCTTTCGTACATCGGTTCATTTATTATTCATTTCGGTATGAAACACAGTTCGCTGGACAAAGGCATGGAAGATTTCTTTAATAACTCTCAGTACTAATTTAATTCTACTTAAACACACATATTCTAGTGAATGCCACATGCTTTTCAGCATGATTTTATGTGTAAATCAGGATAATATGTTTTCAGATCATTAAGTAAAAGGAAGCATGAACTAAAACCTATTTAATCAATGAGGTATCACCTTTAAACTGCCACAAGGTCATAAAAGAGATAATTTCAAAGCTATAAGTTTCCTAATTGTAATCAACAACAATCTAATGATAAAAAAAAAAAGGACATCCTACTGGCTGTAATAAACTTGAGCAAATCACTGTCTGTCTTTGAAGACATTTTGTTTCCTCTTCTGGTGAAGGGCTATCTCCCAAATTCCGGATTTCTGAGTACACAGAGTGAATGACTGCACTGTGCCCAGAGCAAAGGCCTTCGGAGCCTTATGGTAACGACACGGATAAGCATCCACAGAGCGGAGATGAAGATAAGACTCAGCACTTGACTTCAGTCCTGCTGTACCACCATGAAACAATATTTAGTTTCTTCCCGTTTGCATACTATTAACGCTTCTACTAACCCACTGACTGACAGATTCACACAGCGTACACAGAGTTAGCAATGGGAGGCTGCTGTGTTTAACTGACTCATAGACACACACACCCCTATATGTTATGATCAGACCACACATTCCTAAACACATGAACAATGAATTAAATGTACAATTAATTAAATTTACAAAACAATTAAATTGTTTTATGAGTACCATGTAAATTTCTGTAAATTGCAAACTATCCAAATCAGAGTAAGTACCAGAAAATGAATACGTAACTCAAATACTCCACATATTCTGTTAAGACGGCATTACTATGTAACTGAAAGAAATCTCCATTAAAGCACTAACCACTCTTCAATATCTAAATATGAATAAAGGACATTCCATAATATGGTACGGAGTCATCACAAATTGCTATCCCTTCCATCATACTGGGTTACAGTAAAAACTGAAGATACAAATATTCAAGGTTTCTTTTTTTTTTTTAATTTTGTTGTTTAGCTTTTTTGGTCTCAATGCTTAAACAGGCACCAACCTAAATTCAATTTCCTTTTTTAATATCCGTTCATAAATACGCAACAGAGTTGATCAGCCCCCAAAGTCTCTCTCAAGCGTTCTTTTCTTAAACAATGTGGCTTCCGCCATTTAGAGTTGCAAACATTTTGGTAAATATCCATTCATTAATTCTTATAACATCATAAAGGGTAGATAATGGCGAGTCGCTTTTATGACACAGCAGGTGATGGACATTTTTCCTTGGAGGAGGGGTTCCATGCAAACTGTGGATTAATGCTCATTGTCCTCCGGTGATGAGCCCTTCACTGCTCTTACCAACTTTGTGACTGGAGAGGGATCTATCTAGCCCTGCAGATCGCTCTGAACAAGACAGTGTGACATTACCCTTTAGCACAGAACACACCGGCCCCTAAAGTTGGGCTGCAAGTGGACAATGGGTGCCCTGGGTCCTTTTCCTCTGCTATTTTCAGAAAACACACATTTCTAAATACTCAGCTGAGAATCAGGGCCTCATTATTTTGAGGCATGCTTTCCGTTCCAGGGCTGTACATATTAATCTAAGAGAGTTTTCTTCCTAGTAATTAGTTCCCATAAACAGTTAAAACAAGGGTGGATCAAAATAATAATTCTGAGTAAGTTAAGTCCATCTTTTTCATAGAAATAGTTAAAACAAAGACAGCCAGACTGTGTCACATTTCACATATGGAAATAACACCATTGAATCCTAATCATTAGGACACAGTGGTTTTCCCGTGGTGTGAGTCATTTTTCTATTCTATTACCTTCACTTTTCCCTTTTTTGGTCAAATTGAAGGTTTAGATATACATCTAAACTAGTTCTCCAAAAAGAACCAGGAATGAGAATCACTTGTATGAGAAAATTAAAGTTCAAATTGAAAATATAAATTTTGAAAGTAAATGAAGTCTCAGACAAAAAAAAGCATTTCCCGATCTCCCTAACAGGCATAAAGCAAGAGGTATGTGTATATACACACGAATACATGCAAACACAGTGCGGGATGAAAGTGGTCTCAGGAAACATCAATAAAAGGGGCTCAATGAGACAACAGCCCAAACAACCAGAAATAAAGGTGAGACTCTAAGCTCTCAAAACATTAATTCTAACAATAAACAAGGTGTTCAGTGGAGACAATTCTAGGGCATTTATATTCATTTAGACAGCCAACGCGGTTCCTAGACTTACCTCCTGGCGGCATTGCGATCATTACAGGGTCACTTATCAAGCTGCCTTGGCTATTTGACGCGTTCACTTGCACACTATAGTTAGTAAAAGGAACCAGTCCATCAATGGGCACCCACACGTTGGTCTCTTCACGGCTGTGCATGATTTGCGTGCCATTCAGGAGAGTATAGTTATCACCTGCTGATTAAAAAAGAAAACTATTTAAATTAGTGAATACTTAAGGACTCTTTCCTATTATTATTTGAATATTTCCTTGGGTTTCTAAATATACAGAATGATATAGCAACACCATGAAATATACAAAACTGTACAGAAATACCATGAAGTACACAGAACTACAAAGCAGTATCATAAGAGGCCGTACAGTGCTACTATCAATATGCATGCTTTTATTTTACTATGTTGTGAACAAAATTTATCTGAGTTAATATTCTGTTCTCTAATCTATTCAGCACAGAGCTCAAAATAACTGGCCTGATATTCGAAGATAGTATGAAGCTTAATCACAAGCATCATGCATATAAGTACAACTACTAGGCAGGTACAGAAATCAATCACTTAATAGAGTGTTTACAATTGATTGAAGCATTTTGTTTTGTTTTGTTTTTCTGCTTTTGTTTTGCAATCCTTGAATTTTCTTTGGTGTGCGGACTGGAAGGAAACCACAGTCTTTTCCGCCAAATGGAATGATTCTGGATATAAATATTACACTTGCATGTGTGTCATATATTTTATTTATTATCAGTTGGGATCTTTTCTGCTCATTTTGCTTAAGAGGTGAGCTGGCTGCTTTCTATCCAAGCAGAATTGGTCTCTTTAACTCAGAAGTGGTCAAAATATCCTGAAAAGCAACTAGGGATGGGAAGTAATGTGTCTACTTTGATCAGAAGATCTATTTTTTTTTAACTCTCTGAGAAAACGCAGAGGCTGCCTCGCTGTATAGAAGAATCATCTTCAATGTAGCATTGCCAGACCCCAACACCACCATCCTTCCAAAACTTCAGCAAACCCATTCTCTGATCTTAGCATGTCTAGGATGTAGGAAAATATTGCTGTCCAACAACAGTGTTTTATTTCCCTCTCCTACACAACTGTGTTACTTTCAAGGTTAGGAAGAGTTGGAAATTAGACAACATAAGAATAGGGCCATAACTGAAAATTCTATTCTAATATTTATTTCACTTGCTACATTAGATGTTTTCCTGAAAAGTTTACACAAGGCAAATTTTCCAAAATATTGCTTACTTTAGCAAAATTTAGCTATACTTAAAACACAGAAAAAAGAATGACTAAGAACAGTAATATTCATTTCAAATAGCCTTCTTCCTTTGCCAAAACACTTTTTACTATATGTAACTTCACTCTTTCTGCCTAAATGCTACAAATATAGGCAAATCAATAAAAAACACACAATGTTGGACTTCAAGGGAAAAGCATATTTGTAAGATCTCTGGATACTGATGTAATATTTACTGATTAAATGTTTTAAAAAGTGAAAGATGGCCACCAAGAAAAGTGATCGTTCACTATATAGTTGACAAAATGTAATAGTTGCGGTATTATATTTTTACACAGTTTAGTAGCAGAGTATCATGCAAAGGAAAAGTACATAAATTTGGCGATCAGACAGTTCTGCATTTGCACCTGTCCTTGTCACTTAAGTAGCGTGCTCCTTGGAAATTACTTAATATTTCTGAACCTCAAGTTTTTCCTCTGTGAACTGGGAATGATAATACTTCTTTGATTACCATGTTATTATGTAGGTTCAGTGACATTTCTTTACAACAGATGTTCATCAATAGGAGCTGGGAACGTTACTGTTTCTGCTATAATCCACGCACCTGATACATTCTAGACACATGTTTAGAACAAGCAAGTGATTAAGAGTTATACACTCTGTATTTTACTTTCTCAGTTACCTACCTATTCCATTCTTCTCCACCTTCACCCAACAATGTATTATTAATCAAAACTCTAAGCTTTTTTAGTTAACTAAACAACACTGATCTCATTCACTACCACTGGGCCACTCATTGTTCCATTAGGTTGTACTTCAAACTCTAAAATCAATAAAGGTCAAATGATGAAAAGAAGACTTCATATCTAGTTATGAGCATTTTTATCAAATGTTGGTAAGGCAGATTAAAAACTTTAAAAACATACAACATTTAAAAAAAGATATTTATAATAACTTTGGGTCGGGGAACTTAGCTGAAAATTTTATTGCTGCAAAATACACAGGCAGTTAAGTGTTTTTTCCATGAAGAGAAGAAATCCCTAGTTCGAGCAAGAATTTATTACTCTGAACGTGAAATTGGCACATCCAAAGGAGTGGTTTGTACCAAAGAGAATAAATGGTACTTATGGGCTAAAACATGAGACTAATAGCTTCTATTCATTTTCAGTAAAACAAGATAAAGATATATCCACAGCTTAAGAATTGCTTTAAGTTCCCCAAACGGAAGTAGACACTGCAGATATATATGTGTAACACATACGAGCAAGAAGCTCTGAAACCTGCAAAGTAGCCCTTGATAATTTCTCTACACGTTGAAAAGACATTTCCAAATTGTGCTTTCATAGGTTCTTCACATTCGGTCAACTTGATTTGACAGATTTTTGAGCTCCAACTGCATGCAGGAAGTAGACTTTGCTAGGTGCTGAGAATAAATATGCCCCAAATGAGTAAGGCACAGTTCTCGCACTTAGGAAACTTGGTTCAGATTAATATGAATCCCTGCTGACCACTGTCTAAGAAAAATTGCATTATCCACATCTGAAGATCTTCTCAAGTTCCCATAATGTCTAGCTCCTCGAAAGCATTTTCAGCTAGAGCTGAAATAACTACTGCTATTGTTAATGCCCAGCTGTAAAATTTCAAAAAGGTCAGGTTATCCTATGAGACCCAGGCAGATGCTCTATTACCTCCAAAGCAGTATAACTGCACATATCTCACAAAAGATGGCAAATTGTGGAACAACAATAAAAGTTACAAACATAAGCCAAGAGAACACTGTTTTACAAATTTCAAGCCAGGTACGGCTATAAGATCAATGAGTTAACAACCATGATTATAATATTGGTGGGTTTTTTTTTTCCCCTTGTACTTTGTTTGTTTGTCTTTGAAGCAAATTTCTAGCTGTAAAACAAACACTCTTGCTAGCTCTGAAAATAGCATGGCAGGGGGAAATATATTAAGTACCACTTTATTCTAAGTTTCCCAGATAACATTAATACATGGTAATTATACAATTAGTTGTAACATTAAGTTCTAGTTATAGAACAATGATTACTCAGTAATTATAAGAAGTATATAATTACTCAATAATTATGAGAAGGATGCAATTACATAACCATTTCGTTCAGCTCAGAAAAGAACGTGTACATCTCCAGGAAACATGCAGCTGAGTGAGTCTAATGATCTCTCACCTCTGCTCACACACAGCTCAATTCACAGACCTGGAGCAACTGACAGGATTTCAGCCCTCGATGAAACTCACAAATGTCCAGATTCAAAACCAAAACAGGATCCATTCTTCTTCCTCTCATTCCCCAGGGTCTTCTTCCTCTCACTCTCCCCACCCTCTCTTTCTTCCTTGGAACTTTACCAGTTTGGGCTCCCAGATATTGGGGGAAAAAATCTTACAAAAGCAGGTCCTCTGATCCCTCCTCTTAAGAAGGTTGTGCTTTACCACTTCTCACTGCATAAACTTTGTTTTCAGTGGGCTGGAAAATGCAGCCCCGTTGGTTCAGCCTCAAGAATCAAGCTAGAAAGTGCTAAAATGATAAGCATTTCCTATCACAGGTGACCACTCCTGTCTAGCTGGCCTCAGTGCTGACCCTATTTGTAAGTATAAGTGGACGGTGCAGGCCCGGTTAAGATGCTGTGTTCTGGAACCACAGCTCCCCATCACTCACCCCCCGGCACTGTGACTTTGGAGTCCCCTCATCCATCTTCTCTGGCTGTGCTCTGTGCCATCGAGCTTTAACTAGGGATTACACTTAAACTCTTTGCACAATGGGATGGTCTAGTCCTGTGTTCCAGGGCTCACCCATGTCAAAATCTCCTGGGGATACTTCACAAACATTAACACATCTGAGTTCCACCCTAGACCTACTGAAGGAGAGTATCACAGGGTACCAGAAATCACATGGTGATTCTTCTGAAGCATGCAGAACTCCTGATTTTGGAGCTATTTAATCTATGTTCAAGCTGGTCTTAAAGTAATGATCAAAATTCATTTCCTCTGCTTGCAAAAATAATTAGATCGCATTGGGCATCCTTATTAATGATGCATTGAGATTCTAGCTTTGGGCTGTAAAATGTTTACTCTATTAGTGAAACAATGCATCTTTAGACAATATAAAGCTACCTTTTAAACCAGACTGTCTTTACAGACTACAAAATCGAGTAAAGCTGTTCTATAAGAAAAATTCAAATATGCGTAAAAATAATTTTAAAATGAATAAACATTACTGTACACCTGAGAACAACCACCTAAGAATTTCTGAATTAAGTATGTCCTGCTCTCTCTGTCTCTCTCTCTCCCGAGAGGATGCAGGGGAAGGAAGGATTCTTTGTATACTGGCCAATATCTTGCATCACAAGGAAAACACATATTTTGTATAAATCATGTAACATTTTAAAACAAATTCCTAGATGCTGTTTTCGGATATTCCACATTCTAAAGCATTTCCAAAAAGGTTAATTCATTCAGTCCTAGTTTTCTATTTTATTGGAAGAAAAAAAAGTATTAAATGAAGAAACAAAGTTAAATCCCATAAAACCCAACAGATTTCACATGTAAGGAACTTCTTCAGTTTCAAACAGGAAGACCAACTATAATGTTAACAACAGGAATACCCATTTCTAAGGCTAAAATCTTACTTTTCATGTTCTTATTTGCTGAATAGGTAGATATTTTCTATGCAATTATTTCTTTAGCAATAACCAACGTAAATAGGTATTTTCACATGTATGATTTGGAGATGCGTGAATGACTGCTGTTCCGGGAATGCCATCCTGTGGGGTTTCTCTAGACAGAAATAACATAAATGGGTATTCCTTCCCATTCTTGTCATAATCATTGTCACAAGAATTTTAATGCACCATATATTCCATAATTTTTTTTTCCTCTGTGCTGTACTGCTCTGACCTTTTCAATATTCTATAATTTGAC